AGCAGCAGCGGCTAAACAGCGCTCTGCGGTCTGCGTTGGCCAATGGAAAAGTCTATTAACGCACACGAAACTGTTAATTTTGCTGATGCAATTTCGGCTCAATTTATTGTGCACCCACAAAACACTGCAGAACAAAACGGCACTCGATAAAAACAAGGAAAGCGAGGGCCTAGAGCAGCTTGAAGACTTGTGAATGCCCTTACGAGATGTATGAGTGTTTGGCAGAGATCGTTCTTGATAGAGTGGTAGATAGTAGATGTAATGAAAGTAGAGAAAGTAGAGACAAAACTGTAAGCTCTCTTTGGTTAACTAATTTTCTAGCTCTCATGATTTCAGTGTATTGAAGATCGATTGATGGATTGAAGCAGCGTTTAACTGTCTTACATTATCTACATTTGTTAGCATTTGGTATTAAATTAGATTTTCATCCTAATTCGATTTATTCTGTTCTATCTCACTCTGTCTCTCTCTCTCTCTCTCTCTCATTCCCTCTCTTTCTAGATTTTTACTCTAATTTGATCTACTATATTCTATCTAATTCTCTCCCTCTCTCTTTCTCTCTCTTATTATTTTTTAGATCACTTTATCTCTCTATCATGCGGTATTTCTACTTTATTTTAATTTCATTACTCTTATTACTCGTCTAATTTCTCTCTCTCTCTCTTGCTCTCTCTTTCTCCCTTGCAAACTTAAGTTATTCTAGTAAACAAGTCCTATTAAAATTATAACAATAATTGCTTATTGTTGTATAATCTTCTATTTTGAACAGAGCTTTTGCCTTTGGAATACATTAAAATGAATATATAAAGCTACTTTAATGTCTTCCCAAAAAGTAGATGAGACGATGCATAATGCAATACACTTTAATTCTGATCATTATTATTACATTTTCTTTCTTTCTTTTTTTTTGTTGCCTCGCAAATTAATTGCATGTCGCGCCATAAAGCGGTCATACCCTATGGCAAGTGTATTAAAAACTGAAATAATACGTTGAAACGAGTCTCCGGCGGACCGAAATTGAAAAGCCAAAGTACATAACAACAAACTGTCGGCTCCCCAGTTGCCCAGCTCCCAGTTGCCGTGGCTGCCAGTGCCAAAGCCAGGGCCAATCCCGAACCGGGACCCAAACCCGCAGCCAGTGTGCGTCGGGCGCGAAAATCAATATAAATATGCTGCTACGGCACCAAGCACCGTGCACCAAGCACCGTGCACCATGCACCATGCACCATGCACCATGCACCATGCACCATCCAGCTGGAGCTGCATGGAGCAACATGACAATTTATGTGCATTTCGTATGCAGCCAGCTAAATAGACAAGGCAGCGACTGGGCCGCCGCGTATGAGGATCGAGCTGTTGGACTGTGCGTGTGTGCGAGTGTGTGTGTGGGTGTGTGTGTGTGTGTGTGGCAGACACCCTCAACGGCAAAAGTGCCATTCGGGCTGGGCCAAGGACACAAAGGCTGCACAAACCCACACACACACCCACACACACACCCACACACACATACACACACACATGCAGACGCACGTAACGATAAAACTTGAAAATGCTGTTAGCTACAAAATTTGTTGTCCGACTTTGTTGGGGCGTCGCATGCAGATTTTTTCTTCGCTCACTCGCTGTCTGTCTGTCCGTATGTCCGTCTGTCCGTCTATCTGTCTGTCCGCCTCTCTGTCTGACTGGAACGATGAGGCTCTGCACTAATTTGTAGGCGCACAGCAGCAGCTATTGACTCAATATATATTGCGCACAATAAGTGCAGATAGAGCACCGTTACGGGTACACCCTTCCCCCTCCACACCCACTGCACTGCACTGGTGTGTAGGGCACGCGTCGCTGCATTCGTGTGCGTGCGATTGCAAATTTATGCACTGCGATGTAAACAAGGCAAACATTTCCGCATCGACAGCCGATGCTGCTGAGCTTGTGGCTGGCAGGAGGTGGACGCATTTCAGTGCTGGAAAACGCAATAAAGCAGCGCGATTGTGAATTATTTGCAGCATACTTTCGGGCTGACGCAGCAGCTGCATTTCTAACTGTTTTACTGTAACTGGAAACTGGGCCGCTCGACGCCTGCACAAAGCGGACAAACCTAATTACAGCTGCAGACAGCGGACAGCAGACAGCGGACAACAGACAATAGCTTACAGCCTATCGCTCCTAACGCCGCCCCACCTATGCCCCGCCCCCCTGCCCGCGTTTAGGCCACAATCCTGATGCTTGCATTGGTCGTTTTGTCAGTTCGTTTAGCGGCACAAATTGCCGTCCATTGGGTTAGCTGCCCCGCGACACCTAATGCTGTCTCTCTCCCTCTCCCTCTATCTCTCTCTACATATATGTGTATGCAGCCAGCCAGATATTCAGGCCACATAACTTTGTCGGCCATTGCGACAACTGACTTTTCAACTGGTAGCCGCTGTTGCTGCTGCTGCTGCTGCTGCTGCAGTTCGCAGTTGCCCAAATGCCCTTTGGCAGTGGCAAAGGCCACACTTACAGGGTATATTGGATGCCTCCTCGTGCTAAATCTTTATGAATGCCTAGCATAATTCAACTCTGCAAAGTTTTAAATTTATTATTTCGAATATATTTTTAAGCAATGTTTTCGTTTTGAATAAATTTATATGAGATTTTAATCGTATGCAAGATTATAAATAAATGCAGAGCCTTTATTAAGTAAGCTAAATTAATGTGGAATTTGAACTAATTTATTTGCCTTCCTATGCTGCGAATTTCTTTGAAAGTCCCAATCTCTCTCTCTCTCTCTCTCTCTCTCTCTCTCTCTCTCTCTCTTAATCCCTTTCTCTCTCTATTTACCAGTTGTGAGGCGCTCTGTGTCATTCCCTTATACAATCCCTCACTCTCAGTCTCTGTCTCAATCTCATTCTCATTCTCAGTCTCAGTCTCAATCTCATTCTCATTCTCATTCTCATTCTCATTCTCATTCTCATTCTCATTCTCATTCTCAGTCTCAGTCTCAGTCTCAGTCTCAGTCTCATTCTCATTCTCAGTCTCAGTCTCAGTCTCAGTCTCAGTCTCAGTCTCAGTCTCAGTCTCTCTCCCTCTCTCTCTCTCTCTCTCTCTGTCTGCCTCCCTCTCCCTCACATTTCTTCTCATCCACTGTCCTCTCTTCTATCTCTCCCTCTACTTACCTCTCTCGCGCTCTATTCCTATTTCCTGTTAACCCTCACTCAGTCTCTCTATCTCTCTCTGCCTCCATCTCTTTCCCTTTATCTCTCGCTCCCTCTTCCTATTGCTGCCTATTTTAATTGCAACAGTAAACTATTTATGTTGACTTTATGTACATTAATTACTAACACAATGCAGTCCCATTTCAATATGCAAACACACTTCAGTTTTCCAGGGTATTTGGCTAAACAGCAGAGACAACGGCAGCCTGACTGGCTGGCTGGCTGGCTGGCCGGCTGTTTGCTGTCAAGTGGACAACGGCTGTGCACAAAAAGGAAACTTGCTGAAAAACCAAATTTAAAAAAGATACAGCTGTGCTGTGTGGCAAGGTGCAGGAGCAGAAGCAGCAGCAGGGGCAGGGATAGTCACAGGGGAGGGGCAGACCTTCAAGCGGCTAGCGGCAATCGGCAGTGAGCTCAAATGTTGTGCAATGCCTTGCTGGAGCTGGCTCGGCCAGTGGCTCTATCGCTGCTGCAGCCGCTGCCAAACAACAGAGCCCAAAAACCTATAACGTCAAATGTCGAACGCTGTCGACTGTGCCGACTATGCCGACTGTCCCGACTGTCCCGGCTGCCCTCTACGTTCGTTTGTCCGTCCGTTCGTCCGTCTTTGGTAACGGGGCAAATGCGTCTGTTTTATTTTACTTTTGCATATTTTTTGGCGTGTTTCAACTACTGCGGCGCTGTCTCTACATTTTTCAAGTTGTCTGCGTTTGACGTGCACGGCTGGGCGCTCCACTGCGTCTACATCGAAGTCCTTGGCTGGTGGTGGCGACGACGACGACGACGACGATGACGAGGGCGTTGGCGTAGTTACAGTTCGCCCTGTGCTCTGTGTGTGCGGTTGTGGTTCGTTGCTTGGTTATCGCCCAAGCGGCCGCCACAGCGCCCCAAGGGGCAGGCGAGCGGACGAACGAACGGGTGGGTGGGCGAGTTCTGGGTGGGAATGGTTCGCTCACTCGCTCGCTCGCTCGGTTGGCCGCGACTTTAGTTCGTTTTTGGTGAGCCTGTTTTTTAGTGCCTTCCGTAACCATTAAATTTTACGTTTTTATTAGCGCGCCGCATAGACGAGAACGGGGAGGCAACACTCTCGCTCTGCCACACAAACGACGAGCCACCACACCACACCCCACATGCCTCGCCTGGCCCGGCCTGGCTTGCCTTTCAGGCAGTTCCACCCGCGCGAAATTTTTGAATATTTCCGCTTTGGCTGCCAGTTTTGGGACTCGTCGTACAAAATGCAGTTTTGCATGCACTTGCCACAAGCAGTTGCAGCAAGCAGACAAAAAAGCAAAGAAAAATAGAAGAGAGCTAGACAGACGGACAGACAAAAGTGAGCAGGAGTCGCAGATAAGGCGGCCAAAATGGCCGCATTTGCTGCTGCTGCTTCTTCTTCATTTTTTATTATGATATTTGCCTTATCAGCGTCTCAGAATCGTGTGGCAAAAAGTTGTCGCGATTGGCCAAAATTAACGTTAGACTTGCAACTTGAAATAAGTTGGGCAGCAGCAGCAGCAGCAGCCGAGGCAGAGGCAGAGGCAGCAGCAGAGGCCAAGCAAGGAAAAGGAAAAGCCACTCAAAAAGCCAACTCAAATTGTTGTTGCATGTCAAACATGTTGCATGTTGCAAGTTGCAATTGTGGGCGTTCTCAAACATGTTCGCGTTCCACAAGCGAACATGTTGCAGGGGTGTTCAATGATTCCAAACTCTTATACGCCAACACTCACTCAGCCACACACACATACACACACACACAGAGAGACAGGCTGTGGCAACATGTTGTGGACTCAGCTTTGCACTCAGTAGCTCGTACGGCACAACTCATTTCGGCACGTTAAGCTCAAAATTCGAAAGGAAAATCCGAAATAAAATCAAATAATAAACAAAATCGGAATTGTCCGATCCACTCGACAATAGCCGCCGCCATAGTTGAACGATGAATCTATTGCGCAGCTTGCGTGCAGCCCTCAATGAGTTCTTCTATCACAATTATCCTTTCATATCCCTATGCAGCTGCTTGGTGGCCCTGTTGACAGCCTATCTGCACTACGAGTGGAAGGTGCACAATTATGATCTGGTGTCCTGGAAGCAGCTGGGCGAGGCCTGCTGCTCCACGGACGTGGACGTCTTTCAGCTGATCGTCCTGCTGACCATTCTGCTCATCAACATCATCTTTGTGGGGCTCATCGTTGCCGCGTATATGCGGCCGCTGGGCCAACGCGATACGGAGCTGACGCTGCTCGAGATCAAGGATCGCTTCGCCCGGTTCATACTGTTGCGGCTGATAGCGCGCCTCGATCGCATCCAGAGCAAGCTGGCGGCCAAGCGCAAGACACTCAGCCTGCAGCACTTCACCCGGGCCCATCACAGCATGGTCAAGGCGGTGGCTGTGTTCCGCAAGGATGCGCGTAAGCTGCTGCTGCCCAACGAGTCCGAGATCATGCAGCCCATCGAGGATATCTATGGCGTTGCCGACGATGAGGAGCGAGCACTGCGGCGCGACGGCTACTACAAGCTGCCGATCGATACGACCGATGCGACGGTCAAGAGCTTGTTTAGTGCGCAGTGAATGCACACGAGAATATCAATTGCGATAACGATAACGATAACGATAACGATAACAATAGCAATAGTGATACTGATACCGTTTACGATGCCGATAACGATTTTTACGTCATTGGCAAATCCGATTTTGTTTAACTAATTCCCCAATAAAGCTAAAACCTTTACAAAGGGACATATCGGTGGTGTGGAGCATTTTAAAGCAGTTAAACTATCGATAACGATATCAGTTCTTTCAGGTTAACTCAGAGTGATTCAAAAATGTTTCTCGATATCAGTTCTGTTATCGTTTCAAGGCAGCCTTTGGATAAGTTATTTTCCTTTGTACTTTATCTGTCTCTCGCTCTCTCTCTCTCTCTCTCTATATATATATCTCTCTGCATTCCTTATGTCTCATTGAGATACTTTCAAAGTGTGACTTATCGATAACGATATCACTTGTCGATAACTGTACCAACAGCGCTTTCGCTTAAAGCAACAACTTTATCAGCCCGCAATAGCTGCGCACTGCACACCCATACCCATACACTCACACACACACGCACACACACACACACTCACTCCATAATTGCTTTTATCTATGCCTGCTGCAGCTCCACCTGCCTGCCATGCACCCCCTCCCACCCTAGGCCCCCCCCCCCCCCCATCCCACAGCCTTGTCCAGCATGGAGTTGCTCCTTAAAGCCGTTTTATTGTTTCAATTGTTCTGCTGTGCGGGCGCCTCCTTTTGTTGCAGCGCCGCACTTCGACTTCAGCCAACGCGCTGCTTTTTATGGCCGCATTGTGAGCCAACAAGCAACAAGCAACAACAATAACAATAATAACAGCCAGCCAGCGAGTCATCGTTGTCCTGGTCGTTGTCGTTGCTATTGCTGTTGTTGTTGCTGTTGTTGTTGCTGTTGCTGCTGTTGCTGTTGCTGTTTGCTGCTGTCAGGCTGAGGACAAAACAGAGAACAACTGCTAAAAACTAAAACGCCATGTCTGCAACTCAAAAACAATATCTAATGTTCTCTACAGGCAAAATATTTTTCCAGTGTCTTTTTCCACTTTGGCCACGCTTTGTTGCTAGACTCAACTTTGTTGCTGCTGCTGTTGTTGTTGCAGTTGTTGTTCTTTTGCTGCGCATCTTTAAAAATTAGCTAAAAGCCAAAATGTGCTAACTTCAAAGCGTTGCGCGCTTCGCTGCGGCCCCAAAAAGTAGGCAACAAAAAATTGAATACAGTCAAACATAAAAAAAGAGGAATACGCACTTTTCAAATTTTCGCTACGAAAATGACTGCCTAATTTCCGTTAATGTGCCATGTCCGTGCCGTTTCAAGACACACACACACACACAGGCAAACATACTGACACATAGACACTCAGAGCCAATCACACACACATTCATACAGACATTACACATACGCCTCGTAGGCTGTTAGCTAGCATTTTCGGCCAACTGCATTACTTCATTTTCCATGCGCATTTTTCTTTGCTTTTTATGCTGCCGCTGCTGCTGCTGCTGTTGAGCCCGTTGTTGTTGTTGTTGTTGTTGTTGTTGTTGTTGTTGTTGTTGTTGTTGTTGTGGTTGCTGGAAAAAGACATTAAGTAGATTATAGTCTGATTGCATATTTGCGGATATGCGCGCCATAAACACGTACGGACGTGCTGCAACCGCAACAACGCGAACAACGTTAGCGAAACAACGCGTTAAAAAAAGAGAGCGAGAGAGAAAGAGAAAGAAAAAGAAAGAAAGAGCAGCAAGAATATGAAAACGAAGCGAAAAACGAGCGGAAAAACAACTAAATAGATGTGTTTATATATGTGCTATAGACACATACACACACACACACACACACATATGCCTGTGTGTGCATTTGTGTAGGTAGGAAAAAACCTGTAAAACGTACGTGCATCTAACCACAGACTAAATGACGCCTTGCCCCTTTGGAGAGATGGAGAGAGAGGAAAGGTAGAGAGAGCGTCTGTTAGCAGCGGAACTGGTTCCAGTTCAATCGATTGACCAAGCCTTCAAGGTGTTTTGCAATTGGCTCTGCCTCTAATTTCTATTGCTGCAGCTTCGCTCAATGTTGAGGCAGATGACCATCTGATTTGAACTAGTTCATTGGAATAAACTAAGGCTTAGCTAAACTGAAGTGAACTGAATCAGATGTTGCCTTCATTAATTGAGTCTTTGTTAACACTCGGGACTAGTTCATTTGTTAAATTTCAAATTAAATTTATACAAGTGTAACTAGCTTACAAAATATGAAGCGCAATTAAACTGAAATGAGCTGAACTAGTTCGTAAAACGCAAAGACAATTTTAAATTGTGTACAATGTACACGAAATCAAGTGAAAGTAAAGTGCAGTGCCCTAACAGGTTCTAGAAAATCAGTTCTTGCTACAACTAGTTCTTTAAAATACAGTTAACTTTCAGTTCTTGCTTTAACTAGTTCTATAAATTGAAGTGAACTTTCAGTTCTTGCTTCAGCTAGTTCTATAAAGTGCAATGATCTGCACTAATTCTTACTCTAATTAGTTTACTTATGTGAAATGAAGTGAAC